GCGAGCCTCGAGGAATTGTGTTATTCCGAACACGCTCATCGAATAATGCGCGCCGCGCGGCGGGGCGGGCCGGGGCGCTTGGGGGTGGAAGTTGAAGTACTTCCGTTGCTTTCGGTGCGTTGATTGCGCTGAAGGAACTTCGAGCACTTCCGTTGCTTTCGGTGCGTCGATTGCGATTAACGCGGAATCGTTCGCAACCGCTTCTAATTCCGAGTGTTTTAACCCTTTGCGCTCGAGAATATTTTTCTCGATAAATATTCATTGTTTTCTGAATGTTAATGATATTTCTTGCAGCTAACGCGAAGAACTGTTTTATTTTCATGTTCCGTGTGTTGATAAGTTATAGGAAATTTAATATTGAATTTTAAATTTTGTCATTTCGTTCGGTCAAGTTAGAGATTCGGCACGGTTGGAAAATTGTTTTGGATGCTGGGAGAGAATGACGTTGAAACGCTGTCGTTGTGGAAGTTTGGCTTGATTTGCTGGTGTTTGCGACTTAGCTAATATTGAGCGATTGCTCTGAGTTTCTCCAACACTTTGACACCATTTTCAACGTAATCTTGACTATTCGTTTTCTTGGTGACGCATCGAACGAAAGTTTCGTTGAATGTGTGAGATATAAGGAAAGAATCTTGCCCCTTTAGTTTTTGTTATTAAGAGAACTGTTTCGATTGCATGGGAATTTTGATGGTTATTTAATTGGCAAAGTGCTAATGTCTTATCTTCTTATTTCTCAAATTTCTCATTCCCTCGTTCCCCAAATTCCTTATTTCCTTATTTCTCAAATTTCTCATCTTATTCCCCCATTTCTCGAATTTCTTATCTTACTCCCCTGTATCTCGAATTTATCTCCTTATTTCCCAAATCCCTCGTATCGCCAACGACCAATCAATTTAAACTCCAGCATTGATTTCAACGCCGAGAACCGTCGTCCGAGAGAGAAATAGACGATTCCCACCGCGCGTTCCTGCGCCCTCCGCGCGAGATAAGTGCGCGAGCCGAGAAATCATCGGATATGCATTCCCCGATGTTAGATTATAGCTGTCGTAAAAGTTATCCGCGGAGCCGACGTGAAATACGCGCGGAAAGAACGCGACGGACGCGAGAGGAGAAGTTTCGCCCGGCGAGGCGGCAACGCCATTGGCTAAACCGATAAACACCGGAAAGCTTTAGCCGCCCGGCTACGTTGAAAAATATTTTGCTTCGAGGCTTCCGGCGGACTCCGGTTAGAAAAATCCTCGCGAGGGACGGTTTCCGCGGTTCGCTCCTCGCCGCGGGCGAAAATCGCGGCTCGCGCCGCCGAAAAACAGTTTCCTTGTTCCATTCGTCTTACCCGCGATGCACCGCGCGCGCTTTCTTCGCGCCGTACATTCCGCCATTTTTTATCGATCATCTCGCGACATTCGTCGTTAGGCTCGTCGATCATTCTTCGGCTTTACGAGCGCCCCGCGCGACATCGGGTCAACGTGTTTTCTTTCGTATTTGATGGAAGACATCTTTTCAACCCGCGCTGCCTAACTTGGCCTGTGTTCGACGCGAACGGTTCGTCATTTTCATAGCGACAACTTTGTTCAGTCTGTCTCGAGATGACTGGATCCTCATTCTGCTTGTGACATCTGGAATTTGGAAATTACACGAGAAACTTCTTAGATTAGCTCTTATTTTGAATTTCTTTCGATTCGATCTCCTTCGAGCAAATCGCACCGTTTCGTCCATAACGACTCAAATTCAGAAACATTACGAAAAATTCGTCGACAGACCGGCTGGCCGTATTTCCCAGTAACATTTCGACTACGCAGATCAACGGGGGATCGCGTTCAAACGATTTTCGCAAGCGCGACGGACCTTTTTCAGAGACACACGGGGAAACTCGTTGCCGGTGATAATATTTGTGTAACGTATGCCACGAACGATCGTTCCGCGCATCAACAAGTGTCATCCGCACGGTTGCGTATTATTTCGATTCGCGAGTATGTAATTACGGTTTAGCGACGGGCGGCAACGATCAATTGTTGTTGCGATTATTTTCGGGAATACACGCCGCGCAACGGTTCGTCGTTATCCGGAGCTTAAGAGGGTCGACCGATCCGCGAGAGCGAATGCGGCGCGAATTATCATCGCGTCCGCGATAATACGAAGGTACAAACAAGATAATACACTGGTCACTGGTATAATTACGTAATCGACGAGTGGATATCGTGCACAGGGAAAAATGATCGATGCCACAAAGTTTAATGACACACAGTCGCGGAAGTACGATCAATTTTAACCGGGAATTATCACGAATTTCCGACGTGCGGGGACGATAAATTTCATAAAGTGCTGCCGCTCGCGCTGTTATCGGGCTCGTGGTGGTTCTCCATCTCCTGCTCAGGCAAATCGTTCCGATCGACGCTCCTGCGGCCATCGGTGTCTGATTTACCGCGCTTCGCATCCTCGCGCGATCGTTTTTGCTGCGGCTGCTGAGATTGTTGCCTCTGCGGGCTTCGATTGCGGGAACGCGATCTGCCCCTCGACTTCGCTGCCTCGGTTTGCTTGTACTTATGCAGCGACGCCCTTTTCACTGGAACGTGTACGACTTGTTAGGGTGCTGCTGAGAATGGTACTTACTTTTATCCTTTGCCGATTGATAATTTGCGTATTGGAACTACCGATCGTTTAACGTGACTAATATATAATTCTTATGAAAATTTTGATAATTAATTACGCTGCAACTACCAGTGAAAGTAATCAAATGAAAAAAATAACAAAACGGAAAATCCACGCGTCCCCCAGATAGAAATTTCATTGGAAACTCATCTCGATAGCTGAACAACCCTCGAGAAAGTAAGAACGCTCGTCGAGAGCACAGTGATCAGGTGGCGAAAGGTTCGATCGCAGTTATGTGCAAAAGAGCCGCGGTTATTTAGTTAGCAAATTGATAGTAGTATCTGAAATATGATAGAAATATTTATAATGGAAGTCACCCTCGCCATGAAGGCGTGATGTCGAACATTTTTTGAAAATAAACGCTTTACCTTTAGGCTTTCTGTCCTCGTAGTCGGTGTCCGAGAGATCGGAACGGCATTCCTCGCCTCTCGGCGCGGCCTTAGCCCGCTTGCGACTCGAGCGGGGCGCCGCGTTCCCGATATCGGCGTTCGCGTTCCCGTCGGAGATCCTCCGGCGCGGTGACCGGTCCCTTTGTTCGTTGTCTTTGTGCCTGTACTTCCGCGGCGTCGCCGCGTCCTCCGCGGGGCTGTCGGTGTCGCTGGATTTGCTTCGGTTCCTCCGCCTCCGCTGGCGGCTCCTGCCGCCCTTGCGATTCCTCTCGCGCCGCTGCTTCTTCTTCCTACCCCTGGACAACCGACACATGTATCTTTACTATACTTCGTTGACAGTAGAACTATCCGGCAGGAAGATCGACTGTCTCGTGTAGTTGCGACATTTGTACGAGGTTCTGCAGGTGAAACGAAATGGAAACTTGGAATATACGCATGACTTTCGATTTGTCAAGATTTTACGTGGAGGGTACATTGTATTTATGAGAAATGAGAAGAGAGAATATGAGGTTATCTAAATGTGTTTGATAAAGTAGAATAATACGTTCGAGCACTTCCAGGATCATTTGTTTCAATAGCTTTGATAGAAACCTGGAATCGGTCGTTTTGAACTATTGTACTTCTATTGTCACGTTGACTGCTATGATCACCGACTAATCATTTCTAACCAAATCATCTGTTCTATCAATTCCGAAGGTACTTGAAATTTCGACCTATCATTGTTACTAGCGTCGCATCGACTGAAAGCTTCCAATCACAATTATAATCTAAACCTAACTTCATCAACTCTGGCAAAGTCAAAAGGAACTCACAATAAAACACATACATACCACAACGAATTGGCATTTACTTAAAATTATCAATGAAATCGAAGGAAACACGTAATCGAAATCTAACATCACCAACTCTATCAAAGCCAACAGGAACTCACAATAAAACACATACCGCAACGAATTGAATCATTCATCTAAACATATCAATGAAATCGAAGGAGACACGTGATCGAAATCGAATAAATATCCTCGCCCCGAGTGTCCAATTTTCTAATAGGAGCATGTTGAAGTATTAACCTCGTTCTCAAGGGTAACGTCGCTTTAAGTGGACGCGAACTCGCGTAACCGTATTACCCGGAGGATATTAATTGGATCGTAGTTTCGCGTCGCGTGTAAAGTTTCCGGATGCGTTCCGGCTTAATTGAACGGTGAGCGGCGGGTATCGGTACCTGGTGGTGTTCTTGTCCCTGCGATCCGAGCTGCTGACCTTCCTCGGCGGCTGCTCCGCGTCGAAAGCCGCCGGTCCCTCGACCGATTTCTTATCGTTAGTCTCATTCACCGGCTGCTTAACCAGCGCCGGATTCAACGTGAACAACGCCTTGTAACGACCGCTTCTCTGCCGCAGCAGTCCGGCGTTCACCGCGTGCTTCAGCGCTCGGTGAACCTGAAAAACGTTCGTCTCTTCTTAAACGTGCTTCTCGAGCTTACCGGAACTTACTCTATGTTAACCCTTTCGGTTCTGGGTGGAAGCTTTTGGGGAAAATGCATTTGTTCTCGTGATACACGTTAAACCTATTAACTCTTTTCGCTCGTCGCTTGATTTCATACAGTAACACTATAGATTTTGATATTAACCCTTTGAACTCGAGGGCTCCGGAGCAGACATTTAAAATTTATTATTACAAACTGTGAAACTTTGTTATTAAGTATGTTATAACATTTATATGTATAATCGATGGAAACAATGAAATGTATCTGACTTTTCTTTTCATACGCGTATCGTTTATTTATATGTTAATATGCTTTTTCTATTGGAATTGCTTGGAATTGCTGGTAATACCAATGAGAAAAAGTTTCGAGAGCAAAGGGTTAACCATTGTTATTTGTGAATTTAAGTTAAACTTAAACTTTGCGCGAAGAATGTCGTTTTTAGGAGGAAATTCTTGAATAACTAGTAAGAATATTGTTCATTCCATTGAAATTTAGAGGGATGAGGAAATAGTGTAAATATTCGTACATCACTTTCGTGTCAATAATATTTGTTGAAGCTAACAGGAAGAACAAAACACTTCAACAATATATTCAACAAAATAATAATTTTTGTGATATCAAGTAGACATTTTCTAAGAGGTATATTTGTTATTCATATATTCGATTAAGATTCCTAATGTCTACGACTTAAACACAGACTAGCATCTTCGCGAATAACAGTTGAGAATTGAAAGACGCCAATTAGAGTGTACAATCAACAATGCGTTATTACCGAAGCTGCTAATGGGGTTCCGAGTATCTTACCTGCTGTTTCTATTATTAATAATAAAGTTCTGCAATAAAGTTTCGCAGTTTAATTATCATTTTCCGGAAGAGGTGCAGTTTAATTATCATTTTCCGGAAGAGATGGAGTTTAATTATTACTTTCCCGACGAGATACAGTTTAATTATTATCCCGAAGCCGGAATACTTCCCGCGAGCGCGGGCCGTGTATCGAAATGTTCGCAAGAAAGAGAATGTACGAAAAGCCTGCGCCAAGAATGCCAACCGCGCCGCTCGGTTCCATCGATCACTAAATCGTTCGCGAGTTCCCCGAATACTTGGGATACTTTGACAACTATCCGCAACCTTGAAACGGCGGATCCTGCGTTCGCCGATCGATTTCTGGATACTTTCGGCTCGCGTTTGATAAACTGTTAATCGCGCTGGTAATTGATAATTCTAGTTTAGTTTTAATTTAATATAGAGAATGAATAATATAGTTAACATCGAAAATTCACCTGCATCGTGAGATTCCTCTGCGTGCTTTTCGACGAGTGCCGCAGGAAATCGAGGATGTCTCGGGCGGTGGATCCTTTGCCATCGCCCAGGTGCACCACCGCGTCTAACACGCGATTCATTAATCGCGGATTCGATGGATTAGCCATGTTGATTCGACGTTGCTGAATTTTTCAACCAATTGAATTTAATTCTTCTGATCTGTGTTAGCTGCGAGGAAATCGAAGATGTTCTCAATATAGATAAACAGTAGTTCAGACAATGAGATTCTTTGATGTATCTGCTATTTTGAATTGCATATAAATATTATTATATCTATGAAGAACACGGTGTAAATAAAAGTGTGATCAGAATATTATCTATAACGAACATATGTAAATTAGCACTCCATGATTTTGTAATCTATCATCAACTGCGACTAATTTTTATAGTATCCCTAGCGAAAATGAGACATAACATTTTTTCGTTCTTTTATTTTCCTTAGTACAAAATTTGGATATGTGGAAAATCTAATAATTTTAGGGTAGTTTCTTTAAGATTCATTATAATATCTAATATTATTCCTGGTGCAATATTGGAGCCTACGGAGTTCAAAGGGTTATCTCTGTGAATATCACGGTAGAAGTACAAATATTAACAAAATATTATCATCTCTATAAAGAACACGATACAGAGAGTTCCTCGCTCGCGAACAAATTAATCCGAAGTTTCATTAATCCGACATTTCCTTATAGCGAGCTTCAGCTTCGAAACTATCCAGAAATGTCGCATAACGATAATTACCTGCGGCTATCCAAAGGAATCAGGCGAAAGTCCGAACAAAAACCGTGAATCTGGGAATCAGGTGGTTCTCATTACTAAATGTAGAATTTCCCAAGAAGACGCGGCGTGCGGTGAATATCAGGATCCCCGGGAACCTCGAATTTAATCAGAACATATTGGATTCGATCGAAAAATTGACGTGTAATGTAATGCGTTGCCTGGCATCTCCTCTGTCTTCTTTTTTTTCCGTTCAATCTCGATTTACGAGATGAAATTCTCCAACTTCGTTACGTTGGTACTTCGTTACCGGAAATAATCCTCGGTATTACGAACGTAAGCGACGTTCGTCTCGTCGGAATTCTTTAATTCTTCGATCCCGCGCGTTCCGATTCCGACGATCTGACCGACGAAGGGTCCGTCGCGATGAATTACGAAACACGCGATTGAAACGTCGAGGAATGACTGTCAAAGTGAGATTTTGATTCAAAACTGATTCCTTCTTTTTCAATTATTATAAAGAAAGACGCTTCTCAGAAGATTTAAAGAAACTGTAGCAACACAAAGAATCGTAAATCGATTGAAGTCTCGATAGAAGCACTCTTCGAGTTTCTATAGAGAAATCTCGGGAAGTTAATGACGCTCGGTTTTAGTGCTAATACAAATTACTCCATTCGATACAACCGTATAAAATGGAAATTTCCAACGTTAAAACTACCAAACGAGTCAAAACGACTCATTCCTAATTCCTTCTTTAGCAATTATTATAAAGAAACACGCGATTGAAATAACTATCAAAGTGAATAACTATAAACTGAAAATTTCCATTGAAATTCGTAAACGTTAGATATTCTAACTACGTCGTAGAATGTTCTGTTACGAATAAAAAGTTTGACAAACCTCCCTCCTTATTTCCCGATAACTGATCGTTAATCCTCGCCGCGTTGACGGCGAGCGCGACGGCGAATCGCGAGTTTCTCGAAGCGAGACAGGAACATCGTGCTGAACAGAATGTGGAAAATGTAAATCATATTTCGATCCGTTCCATAAATCGCACGGAAAACGCGGCCGGCTCGCGATCCTCAGTTTTTCGTCGAGTGGGAACACGATGATGCCGCTCCGAGTGAATCTTGAATTTCGAGGGTCTCTTCCCGTGTACGTTCGGGAGCAATTTATCTCGTCGGAGCTAGCCAACCGTTTACCGCGCGTGCTCGTCTGCTGCACGTAATTAAAGAAAAAATATGAGATGATTTTTAATCGGAAGTATTACATGTACACGCGTAGAGAAACGAACGGACGGGGCCACTAGAACTCGTCAAAGTGAAATTTCCAACCCCTGGCCGTATGATCTCTTTCGTAACCTCGCCGAGATAATTGTCCTTATACGATTTGCCGAGAAATGGGGGAACGTTTCCGGTCTATCTGTATCCAGCTTCACTGCGGAACATACGGCGCTCGAAAGTTTCCAGATCGTTTTCGGTACTTAATGAAGACTTTAAAGACTTTATGTTATTAGGACGCAGGAATATGTTCGATGAGAGGATACTGAGAAAATCAACACCATCTGTTTGTACATATTTCTTTGGAAATGAACAATTTATCAGTATGTCTGAAGCTAGGCGTAGGAAATGAACAATTCAGATTTCTCACATTCGTTTCAGATTTCTCACAAACGTTAAACAAACGTTTCTTAAGGAAATATGGTGTTTATAATATATCTGAAACTAGGACCAGGAAGAAATGAAATATTTCACTTCGCGACTTTAATTTCATACCCTACAAACCATATTCCCAACCCTCAATCCGAAATAATGCTCTCACCCTTTGAAATTAGCCAATAACAAAAAACACCTATCAAACATTTTCTTCGCAACAATGTCTCACGCAACTTCCATGAAAATCAGCGTACGCCAGTTAAAAAGCTTCCCTCATCAATCCAAAACATACAACCCCAATCAGACTCAGTCGCGTTCCTTACCCAGAAACCTTTCTAACAGTCTCCCGCTATCTAGTTCCCCGCAACTTATCTAACGAAACAGCTATCCAAGGAAACCATACGCAGAAACCTGCAGATACACGCAGCCCCATCCCTGTAAAGTCTGATTGCGCGACAGGGGTTGGTCCCGGCTCGACGCGGCGAAATTTCGGGGTCCGCGTTTAACGAAGAACGCTTAGCGGCGGGGGTGTGTCGGGGGATGAAAGCGGCCTGATTATCGCCCGTGAACCGCGGCCGAATTAAATTGCAAGTCAAACGTATCCGTCGGAAGTGCGCTTCTCGCGGGCAGGTTTTGCGTGCGCGTGCGCGGGCGGCCGCGGTGTTTAGGTGTTTGCCAGGCCGACTTGTTTGCCGGAATTGCGGCCTGCGCTCGTCGTTTCAACGTCGACGCCCGCCGCTCTGGCTGCGCCGGGCAACCGGCAGCCGGGAATAAGCGACGTTTTGTGTCCCGTCGAACGACACCGGCCAGTTTCCCGGGAAACTGCCGGTTTCCACGGCGCGGCCGGCGGCGGGGGGTACAAAGGAACAGCCATCACGAACGAATTACTCCGCTAATTCGATTCCTTTCTGCGGAGCTCGATGGGACGGACGCGTGCGGCCGGTGCGCGTCCGTCGAACCACGCTCATAAAATGCTATTAATTATCGTCGATCTGCTGCGTAATTGAAGCGCTCCCGTCACGCGAACGGAAACCGTGTTTCCGCCGCCACGGGATTGATGATGCTCGCTCGGAAGCCGATACTTTTGTTAGTTTTTAGATGCACGTGGTTTTTTCGAATATTCTTTGCAAGTTGGTTCACTCATGTGTGTTCCAAAGTGAAAATCAATCTGAATTTTCAGGAATATTCGCGACTTCTATGAGAAATTTGTGTATTAGACAAGATTTGATTGCGTATTCCAGTGTTAAATGAGTCAGGAAGCCAATACTTTTGACAGTTTTTAGATGCACGTGGTTTTTTCGAATATTCGGCCACATTGATTTACTGATGTGTGTTCTCGAGTGAAAATCAATCGGAATTTTGATGAATATTTGCAGCTTGTATGGGAAATTTGCGTTTTAGACGCGATTCGATTGCGCAATTCCAGAGTTAAATGAGTCGGGAAGCCAATACTTTCGTCATTTTTTAGATGCACGTGGTTTTTTCGAATATTCTTTGGCAAATTGGTTCACTTATATGTGTTCCAAAGTGAAAATCAATCGGAATTTTAATGAATATTTGCGGCTTGTGTGGGAGATTTGCGTGTTAGACGAGATTCGATTGCGTAGTTCCAGTGTTACGTCGCTCGGAAGCCAATATTAAAATATCGATATTTTGATACTTCCTGATCCTCCTGAACCCTAACAGAATCAATGATATTCTCTTTATTTACCCAAAGATTTACTTTCCCTTCGTTCTTTTCTAGGTCAGAAGGCACTTCTTTCCATAAGTTTCAGACAGGGATTTTATTAGGTAAACCGAAGAAGCGCCGTCTCGAATAGACCTCAAGCAAGAAGGTGATTACTCGAGTAAATAAAAAGTTTCTTATTTCAATGAAACCTCTTGTACGCGTTCGATTATTGTTCAGAAAATCCGCGGCGGATTTCAGTCGCTAAACGTTACCGAATAACAATCTCGCGAACGTTTACGCGCGGGATCGGACAAAGGTGAAATTCGAATTCTTCGAATTCAATTATCGTTTCAACTATATATTTTTTTTTAAAGAGTCGTTAGCATGTTCGCTCGGATAAACACCGAGACGCCGCGATTTTTTAATGGCACGGTGTATAATTTTCTCCGAGCGGAGCACGTAACCCGATTCCGGTGCCGCGCGATGCACTGTTCTATTTACTCCTTTCGCGCCGGAGCGTTTACTTTATTAGTTGTCGCTTGAGAACTCATCGGGCCATCAGCATATCATTCATCGGGCCGCTAACGAACTTTCGATCTGTGTGTTTCGTGCTCCCCTTTTTTTTCTCTCTCTCCTCTCCTCCCCCGCCGGGGTTCTTGCGCGCATCGTTCGCCACGAAATTTCGAGTGGAATTTCGACCTACATTTTTGCCCGTCGATATGAATCATCATTGATGACCGGACAAAACGAAATTTTTATCGCTCGTATTGTACTCTAAATAACGGACGACAATCGGGACGTGACGTACATGTAGCGTGCCGGAATCCTGGGAAATCCTCGCGCAATTACAATATTATTCAGACATATTTTTAATCGTCGAACTCGACGTACCGGAAATAACGATCGGATGGCCGCGGCGTGAAACGTTTCGTCGATGGATCGTCGATGAGACGATATTCCTGTGTTTAGGCTCTGATCGAACTTGATAATAATTGTACCAACAAATTGTGTTTGATTAATGATACAAATTAAATGCTAAATTTAACAATAATACTACCAGAGGGGTCAAATTTTGCGGTGTCTTTTTTTTGCAATTATTAGTAACAAATGTTTCTCTGAGAAATTATTAAAGAAATTCATTTACTACGCAAATTCAATTGTAGATCAATTAAAGTCTGAATAGATGCACTGTTGGAGTTTCTCTGAAATTTTCAAAAGTCAATTGAACTGCTCGGTAGTTTTAGTGTTAATGATAGCTAACGTTAACTCCCTGCTACTTGCACGTGAACACGTGGTACAAGTCCCAATGATTGTTATACCGAATAAGATGGTAAACAGTTGCCAGAGAAAATTCGATACATATTCATCCAACTGTTACCTTTGACAATCTCCGAGTAAATTGCTCCCGGGAGAGTATTTATTAAACACTTCTCTTCCGTTCCGATGAATATTACATACCGTTAATGTTTATTTCTGCCCTCCCGGACACTCGGAGCAAAGATAACACGTGATCTCATAATACCGAACTCGACATCTGCATGTCCGCGGCCGGACAAATCTAAAACCGCCGGATTTTCTGTTCCAGAAGCAGAAACTGCCGCGACGCTCGGCGTTTGAAGCGAATTGATGAACGAACCGGGACACGTTCCAGGGGAGGATCAATCCCAGGACATCATGAAGCAGCGAGTCCTACTGGCCCTCGCCAATTTGATCACTTCTTATGCGTCCTTCCTGTAAGCGAACGTTAATGCAATTCTACTCGTTCGTCCCAATAATCCATGCGCCACTTGCCACCGATGTTTCATAGTTTAAATCCAGTCGACGAAAATGCAGTGACATTCATCTGGATGAACGCGCAATAATTCAATCGAATGATTTAACGTTATATTTTTTCTAAGTATTTCGCTCTATAGAATCGTGCAGCAGTCAACGTGTTAAAGTGTCTTGCATCGATATCGCGATGTATTGGTATTATTTCGAGTATCGTTTCCGAGCCCTATTTATAGAATCGTCATTAAAGTCAGAATTAAAGTCGCGGAGCATCCTTCCGCGTCCGTCCCTCGTAAAATTGCGCCATGAAATCGTACGCCGAAAGAGGCTGCGCCCTCATTGATTTGCCATCAGCTCTCGGTAAAGTTCTCCGTATAAAAATATCGAGAGCAACAAAATCTTGCCCGTAGTTCTCGAACGACGGAAGCACCCACTTGGGAAGTTGCATCGTGCCCGCTATAGTATCCACTCTTAAACTCCCCTTTTTGCTTTCCGCACATTAATCTCTTCGCGAGAAGTGAGGCCGGCCAATTTCTATGAATAATAAAACAGCAGTGCAAAGTGAACGATATAAATAAATTAACGTTCGCGCGGCGGCTCGGTTAATCGGACGGGAAACGGAAATTATTGGTCGCTCTCGGTGTCTTTGTTTCACGGGAATTTCTGGATATGCGTGGCACGTGGAAATAAAATCAGTGATATTCGATGAGCTAGTCAGCTGCTAGAAAAGAAATTGATTGTTCAGCCGGTTTAACACTAGAAATGGTTTAACTAGAAAATTACTGGTTTCGATTTGTTTGCTTCGCAGTTGTTAATAGAAGCATTGAATATTTGAAATGATTTTGGAAATAGTTTCACTTGAGTACTACGATGAATATCCAAAGAAACTGAAGACAATCTATTGTTACAATTTTTATAAAGATTGCATATCAATTATATTAAATGCTTGGTAGTTCTAGTGTTAAACCTTGAATTAAAGAATTCAAAATTCAAAGGTGATATTGAACTAAAATTAAATTAAAGAATTAAACATACAAAGGTCATATTAAATTGAAAATTAAATTAAGGAATTAATTATTCAAAGGTTACACTGAGTTGAGAATTAAAACATCCAAAATTCAGAAGTCACATTGAGTTAAGAATTAAATTAAAAAATTCTATATTCAGTCACATCGAATGAAAAATTGAATTACAGGATTAACCAGTCAAAGATCACATTAGGAATTGAATTAAAAAGTTCAGAAGTCAACAAACGGGAAGCTCTTCCTTCCAGATCGATTAACTCGCACAGCCCGCTACGCGAAATTCTCCGAGTAAAATGCAGCCGAACGCAAATTCTTGTTCTTTCGTTGAGGAACCATGGAACTCGCCCATGGAAATATTCGGTTGAAGTGCAAACGCTCTCGCGCAGATCGTCGGAACCCGGTTTGATTCGAACCCTCTCGTCACACAATTAACCCAATTCGAATTGGCCGCTGAACAACCCTTCCTTCTTTGCTGTTCCTGTCATAATTGTTGATTTTCCTGCGGCGCCGCCCCGGCAGGCATAATTGAGGGCTTTGAAACGACAAAAACAATCGCACGGCCGGCTTGCTCTCAAAATGACTTACACGGGAACACAAAAACCGGCGTTTACATCTTGTTTCACGGAGTCAACGGGAGTATTCTGTAATTAACACGTTTGAAACTGACGACGTGGGCTACGTCATTTTTAATTTCGTTGGAACACTGCTTGGAATCATCTTGAAATTTCTAAAGTTGTTTATAAGTTTGATATAATTTATATATTTTAACCCTTTGCACTTCAGAAGTTCATTAGAAGTACTCAACATTTTTTAATCAAATACCAACGTCTTTCAAACTGACTTGAATCGCACATAAATTAAAGAAAGAGGCTGTTTTATTTTAACATTTTACACGTCGATGAATTGTACAAAGTTTAATATTAAATATCAAACTCTATAATTTCGTTGTGTCGAATCAATTGGCGACTAAGAGGCGCCTATGGAGTAAAGGGTTAAAAGTTCTTACTAAAATCAAATTCTTCATACGAGACTTTACCAAATGTTTGACAGAATTTCCAGCGCGAGTTTAATTTCTAACAAACTCGGAATTTATTGTATTTCATCTAGGATATCAATTCATTACATCGAAGCGTCTAGCAACCAATTCCGAATGCCCGGAACGCCGAGAACGATCCGACGTTTCCTTAACGAAGCGTCTTCGGGCTCCCAATTTCCTCGGGAACGGAAGATTGAAATTCAAATGTAACGGAGTACTTATTGTTACGCTTAATAGAGAACTTCCCCCGGCCCCGCGGGTACTAATGAAGTCGTTTAAGCGTCTAAAGGACCAATTAAAAATGGAAGGAAACCAATCAGCCGGCTGAAAAGACGGAGAAACCTCTCGCGGCGAGCAGGTCAACTGGCTTCTAATAAGCGCCATATTGTCGCCGCGTAAAGTATCTGTCCGCCGGCCGCTACGTAGCGGCCGAAGGAACTATCGGACTATCCGTTCGGTGAAAGGGACGCGGCGAAGAATCGAAAAGATCGAAAGCTACCGTTGTCAGCAAACAAAAGCCACGACGATATAGGCGCGTCGGGAAAATAGACTAGGCAGCGGCCAGACAACGTGGCCGATCAAGCAGCTGTTTTCATCGTGACCTAAAACCACCGGTCGCCGTTAAAACACCGCTTTATTTCACTTGAAAAACAAAAAAGGGAGACAGAGGGAAAGAGACGGAGTGACAGAGAGAGAGAGAGAGAAAGTGAGAGAAAGAGAGGGAATGACGAAAAAGCAGAAGAAGGAGGGGAGGAAAAAGGAAAAATAGTATCCCTGCCGCAATTTTCGTTCCCCCGTCGAAATTCTCTGGCTGTTCCAATTTCCAGGCCGGCCGAGTGTGCACTCCAGCACGTGTACACATCATACTTGTGCCGCGAAACATAAATAAAACAGCGTCGAATGTGCCGCTGAAAAACAATGACGGGAAAAAGGGAGAAAGTAGCGGGGGAAAAAAACCACTGCCGGCTTTAGCGTTCAAACGAAAGCGCTCTCTGGCCGCTTCGATTTGCAAAAGTACGAATCTTTTCGGCCGCGCCGACTGTTCGACGGGCGAGAGAGGAAAAGGTCATCAAGGCGAACTGTGCTGCGTGCATTTCCCGTTGAAATGGCGACGGGAGGCGAGAAAATTCGCGGCGCTCGAGCGTCTTTGCACTTCTCAGCGCGAGAAACCGTTGGCGTTGCTATGAATTCATGGAAGTCTGAATTGTTCGTCGATGCCTCGAATGCTGGGAAAGATGAAATTGTTGCTGGTTGTAGGAATAATTGAATTAAAGCGCGGTCGCAGCTCTCGATTTTAGACGAAGACCGGAGCCGCCATTACGGCGGCACTCGTCTGAGAAGGTTTTACTGGACGACTGAAGAACTTCGGAATCTATCGAAGTTCCTCGATCGAACGCTTTTGTTTTGTAGTAGATATTGTTACTGTTATTATCGTTATTGTTATTTATTTCTGAAACATTTCGAAATGATCATCGGAATTATTCGAGACTAGATCGTTCCAATTTACACTTAGTATGTTCCGTCGAGCTTGGAAATTAGATTAGGTGAATTATTATGTTTTTTTCAAATGTTAAGGAGATTCTTTTGATTTTCTTGACATCAGTCAGCTGATAAATCAACTGTACAATTCACTGAGAACGAATATTCGCGATTGTTTCGATCCAATTACAATTATCCGTTGATTCTCGTCTGTTGCAACGGTATAATAATGACGATGGCAGCGTATCGCGTGAACTCATGAATGTAAATACGTGTTCGTACATCGCGTGCACGGATAGTACGGTTCTCTAAACGACACGCTAAATGGGAGTAAACCTTGTCTCGGGGATCGGGCCGGTTTACACAGGCATACAACGGTAGGGAATCGTGCAAATGGATCGAAGGCGTATGACATACCAAGGATACGAGTATCCGAACAACGATCAGCAGCTGCTGGTTCTCCGTACATTGAAATTGACCCGTGAAATCGGACCACCTTGAACGATTAACCATAATTGACGATCAGAAGGCACAACGTCGGAAGCGTCGCGTCGCCCTTTATTTCTAATAACCGAGGAGACGATCGAAATTCTTTATTCAGATGTGGGATGAAAAATGCAAATTTTCTAATACTATATTTGTATCGGTGTATTGACGACCATAACTCTGTAACTATGTAACTGTAACTGTAACTGTGTAATTGTGTAATTGTACATCTATAGAACTGTAGAACTATAGAATTACGAAACTATGGATCTATAGAACTATAAACCTACAAAACCAATCAACTATAAACACGTCCCTAAAACTCAGCTCAAAATATATTACAAAATCTCCTTATTTTCACACAAGATTTATCTTTAAATGACGAATCAATTAATACTATTCCCAATGTTCATTATTTCAATTGATCGTACATTCACCCTCCAAAGCACCACTAATGCGCCTCGGTATCACTGTAGATGTACCACCCTCGTCTATGTTCCAGAGCAGCCACAGGGGCAAAAACCTCCACAAGACAGAGAACGCAAAGCAACAATCACAGCAACATCAGCGAACTGCTGGACAATCTGCTTCGCGGTTACGACAACAGCGTCAGGCCAGACTTCGGTGGACCACCGGCCACCGTTGAGGTCGACATCATGGTGCGCAGCATGGGTCCGATCTCAGAAGTCGATATGGTTCGTATTTCCATCGCTCGATTTTGTTCGCTTCGCAGAATGCACGGCGCGCGGCGTCCAATTCAACGACCGGCTCAAGATTCCGCATCCAGCTCGCTTATCTTATCAAACGGATCCCAGAATTCCCCTCTGATCTCCCAGCTTTATTTATTTGCTGCTTTTCATACGCCCGCCGCTTCCTGATTCGCCTGCATCTTCCGCCATTCGCCGCTGGTCCTTAACACCGGAACGACCCATTCCCGATTCCTTCATTTCGCAGTTATTAACCTTTGCACTCGGAAGTTTTTCATTAGAAATATTTTAACGCCTCCTGATGAGATAGAGAAGATATTTTGTGAAAGTGACTCGACGAGAAATCACACTTAAATCGAGGGACAAAGCTGTTTTCAGTCACCATTTGATCTGACGCAGTGAAATTAGCAAATTTAATATTTAATATTGAACTATGTACAGTGCATCGGTGCGCGAAATATTGAGATAAAAAAGCTTCGTTTCTCAATTTACCTGTGATTTCTCTTAGAATTCAATTTAAAAAAACCATCGTCTTTGTGTAGTTGGAAAATGTTAAGTATTGCTAACGAAATACTCCCGAGTGCAAAGGGTTAATATTAACCCTAGTTAATTGTTAACGAACTGGAATTATTTCAAATTTACTTATCGCGAAAATACTATAAAATAGATAACAAGCGGAAATAAATTCACAAGAACGTGTTAATTTGTAAATATTACAATAACAGTGATAAAAATAAAATCATTTCTGCCGCCATTATACGCATTGGAGTCAGTAGGCAAAGGTGTTATGCTTATTATGCATTACGGTTAATTAAAATATAGTAGATGTTTCTCCGAGAAATGATTAAAGAAATCGATTCACCGATACGAAAACTGAATGACAAATCGGTTAGAGTCTCAATGGACACGTCGAATTTTCATCCAATCCCGTTCAGCGCTGTTGGCAGAGTACCTAGGGATCACGGGAATGGGATGAACGAAGAGTTCCGCGGGAATTGAGAGGGAGAGAGGGAGCCGATGCGAAAAACGGGCGAATTTCGGCACGGTCGGCGTGTCGGTCTGTAATCGATTGTAACGAGGCCGGCTAATAGCAGTGACGTTTCTTCTGTAGACTTACTCGATGGACTGCTACTTCCGTCAGTCTTGGGTGGACAGACGTCTGGCCTTTCAAGGCGGCAAGGAGACGCTCGCGCTCAGCATATCGATGCTGGCCAGGATCTGGAAACCGGATACGTACTTCTATAACGGCAAGCACAGCTACCTGCACACCATAACCAGTCCCAATAAATTCGTCAGGCTCTATCAGGATGGCAGGGTCCTCTACAGTTCTAGGTAAGTAGATCGCTTAATGGCTGGGCTGAGGAACACGGCTGATCGATCAGTCTCTTCTCGTCCAATTTTCTAGTAGTTTTGTTTATTAGGTCACTAATTTGATGTTTTTCCTAGGATCACTAATTTGATGTTTGTCCTAGGTTCTATTGATCCTATAAAATTATAGAATAGAAAGACACCCCTTGTTACAACTGTACTTGAGACATAGATGATTGGACTGATTAGACAATCTTCGTCTCTTCTCGTCCAATTTTCTATTAGTTTTGTTTATTAGATCACTAATTTGATATTTGTCCTAGGATCACTAATTTGACATTTGTCCTAGGATCACTAATTTGCTATTTGTCCTAGGTCCTATTGATCCTATAAAATTATAGAATAGAAACATCCCTCTTATTCCAACTACACTCAAGAAACCAGATGATTCTACTAATTAGACAATCTTCATCTTCTCACACAATATTATCAGTCTCACTCCCTAATTACTAACACTTTCAATCACTAATTTCCCATTCCTCGATACAGCCACAAGTAACCAATCAAAACTGCAAAATTCCAAACTAGGTGACACGACATCGCCTCGAAACTAAGCACAAACGCTCGTTTCAACGTTCAGAAGCGATCGTATTGAAAAATTACCGAGCAGATAAAACGCCGGAGACCCAGATCCCTAACATTCGAAATCCGCGCGTAAAGTTGGAATCGTCTCGGCAATAAATTCAAGAAACTCGCCGCGTTAGAAGGGTTTCTTACTCGGGTCTCCCGTTTTATCGCTGCTCCGGACAATCGCGTTACGGTCGGCTTGCGTCTCATCGTGCATGACGATGCATGACGCCGCTTTCAGCTCGCGTTTTACGTTTGGCCAGCTTGTCCAGTCCGACCTGGGGAGAGACGTTAATTGTCATCAGCGAATGATTAATTCGTTCTCCGTATATACATTGTTCTTGGACAGCGTACGACGAACGTGTTGCGCTTAGTCACGCGAATTGGCACGCGATTTGTCCGCAGTCCTTTCGGAATGATCGATTTCTTGTATCTTATGGATGCTGTTTGATACTGGGACCACGCGTTTAACGCTGGAACACTGGCACTAGGTCAGTAAATGATTTAATTACTCGAACAGCAGGAGATCAGCGTGTTTTCTTCCATTGTTTCAGCAGTCAGTACATAATTCAGCTTCATCTGAAGGTTTTATATACTTCAAAGAACCCTCGTCTACAAAGAATGAACAAAACTTCCTTGAAACTCATCCTATCCAAGAATTCCAAAAACGATCTGGAACTTTCCCCGGTATAGAATGTTTAACAAAAAACTTACTCTCGATTCCGCTGCGAGAGATGAACGCAACAACCGTGAAATTCCTCGCGAACAAGACTCGCGAAAGAAAGTAATACCGATTGTCGGCCCAATGTAAATGAATAGCCCAGCAACCGCGGCAACTAGTCAACGCAGAAGTTCGAAGTTCGTAACCGCTGGAGCTGGAATAATTGAATAAGTGACCGAATTAATCTTTGCTACCTCATTATGCCGACTTTCATTGTCCCTTAAGAAGCCTTCGCGTTTCCGCGTGAAAAAACGTTTCAACGGGAAACGTGTCGCGCGACAGCATCGCGAGACTAGAGCCTGCGTTTGTAACAATTGAAAACGATGATCTAAGTCCGAGGAGAGCTCTCGAATAATCTATTATTACCGGTTTTTGTGGAACTCGGAACAGCGTTTCCGCGATCCCCATCGAATGAATGAAAACGAGTGTTTGCGTTCCACCAACTTTGATTGTACGAGGTCTTTGTGTTCCTTTTACGCTTCCAAGCACGGAAGCGGATCCGAAAATGAAGGGAAACCCAGCTCCGCGAAATGGCAATTTAACTCTGCTAATCCACTAAAATAATTTGCAACCTGAAATCAATGCGATTTCGAAACCGTCTTGTAGATTGCAGTGTTATACAAAGGTTCTCGTAATTTTCTTATCGTGTTAGAAACCTTGTAGATTGCAGTGTTATACAAAGGTTCTCACGATTTTCTTATCGTGTTAGAAACCTTGTAGATTGTAGTGTTATACAAAGGTTCTCGCGATTTTCTTATCGTGTTCGAGCGAAACTGTGTTGTAAGATCATCGGTTTCAATCGAAACGAATCAAACGAATATACTAGTTGAATGCCGTCTTCTATAAGGGTGGAGTGACAACCCCAACTTCCCAACGGATTTATCCAAAAATCGAAAAATGCCAATCTACAGAATTCCCAGTACAAAGCCGAATCGGCAAAGTCAATAGCCACGTTCTTCCTTCTTCACTGCCTATGCAAAACCTACATTATCCCGATCCACATATTCTCCAGAATATCCGAAATATTACAAACACCAAAGAGTCCTGAAACAGCTAATTCCAGCTCACCACTTCCCCATTAACAGAAGACTCCAAGAATCGCAATTCGAAGCAAACCGCTACGATCGCAGAATAAAGCTAAGGCAAACACAGAGTTTCCTCCGGTAACACTCGCAACGTCCGTTGCTCGCGATAACGTCGCTACCGGCCGTCTCGTCGGTTACTTTTCGCCAAAGGCGGCGGCGAGGTGGAATTCAAATATTCCCAGCGTTCGCGTCGCAACGGTCGGCCTACCTGTAAACGAGTTCGCCGTGTTCCAGCGGACGGCACAAAGGGCAGCGCTGTCGTCGACGCTTGACAGCCGAATTCCTCAGGTTCGCCGAAAGGTTCCGGCGATTCCTGTGTTCCGGATTGTCCGACAAGACAAATAGAAATACACCGGCCACGCGCGCGCGGGCTCGAGCGATGTACGTTTCCCCTTTGTTAAGCCATTCCCTTTCTCTTGACCTAGTCTACTGGATCGGCTCCATTGTGCGCGCCAGAATTAACCCTTGAGCTCAAGGTGGCTTCTATACACGCGCACCTCTGCCGCGGTCTTATTAAGAATCATGTGTCCGACACGAATCGTTCTTCAAGAACTACGCCCCGCCGGGCTCCACACAGCGAGCCGGCGATAAAACCCTGCGGAAGTACGCCGCCCCTGTTCGCCGGCCTGTGCGAAGACACATTTTTACATGCCACTGTGGCGGGGGAATCATTATTATTACAGCGTTACTGTATTATAGATAACGAAAGAGTGGATCTTGAGTAATCGAGAGCTAGGAATAAATATATGTATTTAACGCTAGGTTTACGGGCATTTATTGAAAATCGAGTTCATGTATATTTCAGCTGTTTATTTCTTGAGTGGCTTAAGTCCATCTTTCGGGAAAATCAGGTTAATGGTTACAATTCTGAATAATATTCTCATTTTTTAATGATTTCTCTACCTAGGCCTCTAGGCTTCCCACTTCACACATGCGAATACCCTAAAACTGCGCTAAATTCTAGATACTGCAGTATCTGTTGTAACAGATTATTATTATGATACAACACTTCTATATTTTCATCATCTATTATAATCTAATAGTTTCATATTCTCAATATCTCTCATTATACTACACTTTTATACTTTCAATATGAATTATGGAGAAAGCGCAGCTGATTTCCGGTGAATCATGAAATAAATTGATTCGCGTGAACCCAAGCTGGTACTCTTTCTTCGAAACCAGCCGCGAAACGTATAATCGCCGGCAATCCCCTTGGACTGATCGGGAAAATCGAATTTCTGTGGAAACTCGCCCGGCACTCACCCGCGGCCGATTGGTAACTATTAAATGGCGATCACGTCGCACTATTTACACAGCACTTTATTAGCTGCTAGTACAGCCCTCCGCAAATATTGATCCAAGCAGCTTCTATTTACTTTGCAGAGATTCAACATAGTTAAGTATTTTTCCTGCCGGCGAGATCTTTCGACGGATCGTCGCGTAATTAATTCGCTCGCCGCGGGTGTGTCTTGAGAAACCAGTGCGAAAATGAACTTAACCCTTAAGAACTTAACCCTTTGCACTGGAGGGTTGACTCTCGGACACCATACGATTCGATGTACCAAAATAAAGTAAAAAATATGACTCTCAGTCAGCAAATGCTCGGTAGTTCTAGTGTCAAGTGAAATTAAGATCGCAGGAGAATGATCTAAAATGAATTTTTCAGTGATTTGTTTGACTATTATTGAAATAAGGAATAAATGTAAATGACAGGGTCAACTCTTCGCAGTTTGTAATGATTTTTGCGTCTGTTTGCGATGGTTCGATTACCATTGAGTGATTTTGTTACGTCAAATGACTGTTGGTTTCTTGTGAGGACACATTTATCTCTTATTTCAATCAGTTTCAATCACTCGTATGTTTATTTTATAATATTTTGCGTGTATCTCTAGAAACGATTGCACCATGTTCCTTTGAATTGATATTCTAATTGAGAAGGGTTGAAGCAGCATCGAAATCATCGAAATTACTTCTACCCGAGGTACCCTAGGAAATTAATACTCTTAATTCCCAATGAATATTATTGCCATAAGAATAATATTGAAGTTAGACGCTTTGAAACGCGGCAACGTATTTGGCATCGGTCCCGTGCATTAAGTTTCAATATTCATAATGAGATGCATCGCCCGGGAAAATCTGCGCGGCCGCTTCGTGCCGGACATCCAATTAATTTCGTAATCTATAGGATCTCGTATGACCGGCGTCAGGTAGAAAATTCTTAATTAATATCGCCGAGCGATGCACTTTATTGTGAAACTTCGGAAGTTGTTTTAAGTAGGCCACCTGAAAAGTTACGGGGATCGGAGGATCGGCGGAGGCGCTCTCGCCGCGGCGAAACTATTTATTCCATTTCCTCGAGGACGTGTCTGTTGCGGCGCGGAATCGCGGCGTTTCGCGTCTCGATACTTTTCGGATAAATTAATAGGGTGTCGCTATCTGAACGTTACAGAAACTTTCGTTATTATCGATTGAATTTACCGCGAGATTAATTGTTATCTGATGTAATGACGAAAGGTTTGTTATTATTCGGTGCAACGGTAATAAGGGATTAATTATTATTCAGCGGAACGGTAATAAGAGATTAATCG